GGTGGCGAGCACCTCGGCCTGAGACGACGTCTGGAGGTAATCGGGAGGCGCTGCCTGCCCGCCGCTCCGCCTGCCTTCCTCCAGCTGCCTGCAGAATAAAAAACATCCCCAAAAGTCATTATCATTTAATTTCTTTTCCAAACACCCCGGGGCTGGGAAGTGGGGAGAAACAATCCACACCTGGACATTTCTTCGGCGCTTTCCTGATAGCGCAGGAGGAGCTGATCCCAGGCGCGACACTCGGCGGTGAACCTGGCGAGGGTGAGAGGAGAGTCTGCGCCCCGGAGACTATGAAAAACCCCCGAAATGCACCCAGAACTGCCTCTCGCAAGAGATGGCAAAGAGTCCGTCTCACCTGGTGATGTACTCCTTCACTTGGGCCACCGACTCATCCAAAGCCGAGTCCAGCAAGACCCTAAATAGAAGGGAAAAGGCTCCTGCATCTCCTCCAACTATTCGCGTCTCGCCACCCTCGCGCTGAAGAATTTCTGATCTAAATTCGCCCAATTTCCCTTCAAAACCGCGCCCCACGAGGGATGAGTCCTTACCCATTGGGGTCTTCTACGCAGTTCTTCAGCGTTCCGTCTCGCTTCAACTTGTGCACGTAGCGCTTCAGCTCTTCTGAAACCGAGCGCACTGCACAGGGAGACAAAATACAAGAGAAACCAAGGAAAATCAGTCGTCCCGAGCAACGAAGCCCCTTTCCTAAGATCCGAAGACGTTCTAGAACTGTTTCTAAAGGGATAACTCATCTCCGCGGCCACATCCCGAGGATGCCTTCGGTTCTGAGCTCGTGGCTGCCCCTGCCACCTTACCGTTAGCTTTGAAAGCCTTGGGGCTAAAGCCCTCGGTCTGCCTCAACGTGTGTTCGAGCTTCTGGGCAGAAAACTACAAAAAGACAGCAAAAAGGATGTTTAGCGGCAGAAGAAAGGCAAGACGGTGACAATTCGCCATTGAAAGAGAGGGTTTTACCTGGAAACTGGACAACAGCAGCATAGAAAGCCGGTCTGTCTCCGGCAGGTCGAGGCTGATCGATTTGCTTAATTCTAAAAAAATAAATATTTAAGATGAATTACATTCACACCAAGACGCAAGCTGCTGAGACGTTCCTGAAAGACGCTAAAAGCTGTCGTACAGGAGTGTGGTGTGCGGGACGTGGAAGAGGCAGGGAAAAGGGGGGGAAGAAGTAGAGTTCCTCACAAGGAAAAAGTCATTCTTAGGGCTCGACCACGGAAATAAAAAGGCAGAGACGACAAACCACTGGTCTACAGAAGCCATTAACGCAGCGTCTCCCTTTAACCACCAGTACCCACACCTCTGAGAGCGCTGCCAGCACGGACACCAGGCTATGAGACTGCAATAAAGGTCGTGCCAGGAGATTAAATTCCAACTTGCTGTGGGCTGCCCCGCGAGTTTCAAGAGATTGCTCGACCCAGGGAAGAAGCGGAGCACCCACCCGTGACATCCTGGTGAACAGGGGGCAGAGATTTCCGGCGTTTCATCCCCTTCAGGCTGGAACGACACCAAGAGCGACGCTTGGCTTGAGGAGTCGGGACGAGGAGTCTCGGCGACAAGCTGAAAGAACTCGGCGAATGGTCCTTCCTGGGACTGCTTTTCCAGGGAGACAGCCTCTTGGGACTAGGTTCGAGGGCGCTTTTTTGGAGGCGGGGGCTTTCCTGGGATCTTTTCCTCATAGCCGCTGGGGAACTAACGTTCTTGCTGACAGTGGCTGGGTCAGGTGGCTTTAGGAATTGCTCAGGATCCACTTCCTTGTCCCTGGGATGGGAAGCTGAGGGAAACAGATCTATAGTCAGCAGGGTAAAAAGAGAGGAAAAGCATCTTTCGATGGGGCCAGGGTCACGGGCACAAACCTAAACGTCCGAAGGAACTCGTTGTCTTTGAGGGTGGCAGAGCTGACAGTGGCTGGGTCAGGTGGCTTTAGGAATTGCTCAGGATCCACTTCCTTGTCCCTGGGATGGGAAGCTGAGGGAAACAGATCTATAGTCAGCAGGGTAAAAAGAGAGGAAAAGCATCTTTCGATGGGGCCAGGGTCACGGGCACAAACCTAAACGTCCGAAGGAACTCGTTGTCTTTGAGGGTGGCAGA